GCGAGCATCCAGTGTCTTCTTCGCGAGAGCTGAGCGAACCATCGGGCGGAGCTGTTGGCGAAGCTGGTGGTTCGCCAACAGCTTCGCCAAATTTGGCGAAGCTGTTGCTTGAAACGTGTCCAGTCCGTAATGTCCGTTTCATGATTGAAAAACCATGTTTTCGCTACGCCTGTCAGATAGAAAGAAACACGGCGAAGCTTGCTAGGATCACCCCAGTTGTTAGTGGAACTCGCTCAATTGAACTGGTCCAACCAATCCTCCATATCTTCACCTCGAAGTCCGCCAAACGTGGGCGGCTCACGCTGGTGCGCGGTGATAATCCACGATAGATAGGCCGCGGTAGCCAGGGCCGTGGAGGTAGACCCAGAAGCGCCGGTTGGCTCGTCCTGAGGCATGTTACCGGACACCTGGCACAAACGACGACCTGAGCGGAGCTCCAGGAAGCAGATCGGGCTGGGAGAGGACGGAAGATCGTAGAGCACACTCCACCACTTGTGATGTAACAGTGAAGGCAACCTTTATTAGGCCCAGAAGACACGATGAAGCGACTACGCCCAAAACACAGAACTCAGACAAGCCAAGTCCCCACAGCAGATGAAGATGACGACCACTCATGATGATGAATATGTGTAAAGATAGTAGATGAGCTTAATGAATGCCTACAATATATGTGTGTGTGTGTGTGTGCGTGTGTGCGTGCGTGCGTGTGTGCACGTGTATGTGTGCGTGTGCGTGCGTGTGTGTGTGCGTGTGTGTGTGTGGGGGGGGGGGGGGACGCTATGATGAATGGGAGACGTGGCCTGGCTCATACGCCATGTTTATTTCATTCTGCACTTCTTCCTTCTTGGCTTCTACTTCTAACTCCTAATCATCGCTACCTTCTTAAGTTACAGGATTCCCCCTCCCCCCGGAATAAGTCACGTCAGACACTTAACAAAACAACAAAAACGGGTGTTAAAGCGAGCGAAAAATGTCAAAATGCACCATAGTTCCATTTCAGAGGGGAGTTCCTTAACTCGCACAAAAAGCTACAGCAGAGGGAAGCAGTCCGGCCATATCTAAGAGAACTCGGGTGGACGAGGCTGGCTGTGGCATTCTGGATGAGATAACCGCGTCCTGCACAACTGCACTGACCATGACACGGCTTCAGCAGCTGCGAAGAACCAACGATGCTAAACGTCCTTGTAGAATTTGAAGGTCGGACGTCGTAGGCGCCGAGTTTTCTGTCGTGGGTGTTGTATTTTTTGTCGTGGCTGAGACAGAAGCATTGCTTTAAGCTTGCGTTCGCGAGAACCGAAGTTGATGATACGATGTCTGTGCTCCTGAAATTTGCAAATGGTAACGTTCAGTCTCTTTCGTGGTTTTCTGTGGTGGTATCTCCATTGGTAGGATTGTACATAAAGCCTTGATATCTCGTACATAAGACTTCCTTGACGTTTCCTTCTACGAATATGGCTCAAATGTTGACTTGGTCTTTCCTTTAGTTGGTGTCGTTTCTGACGACCATCCTTAAGCCACAAATCTGGTTTTGATCTCATTTTAGTTCGTCGTTGTGCTTTATGTAACTGCCGTAGTTTCCTGAGTTCTTTGGGTTCTTGATGGCACTGCTGATGTTGCGGAATCTTACGAGGTGGTACTTCTTTAGTAACACGAGCCTGCTTATTCTTCATAGTTGATGTGACTAGTAGATAGTTGGTAGTCGTTGGGTTGTCGTGATTCTCGAAAGAAAATGAAGGTGGTGCACTAGAATCGACAGGGAGGTCTTTGGAGGCTCTTGCAACGCCGTTCTTAATAGAGACTTCTGTTACAGGGCAGTGCTTGAGAGTTGATTCTTCCGAGCCTACTGTGTTTGTTGGACTCTTAGGTGGCTGGGAACTTGACGGAGACACTGACAAACGCTTGATTTGGTCGGATTTTGCTTGGGATTGTTTCTCTGTCTGCACAAGTTTGGAGGTTGACTGTTCTGATGCATGAATATGGACAGTAGACCCTGGGCTTGGCTGAGTATGCTCGGAGCTTCTCCGCTCTATTTCGACCATAGTGAACGCGTGAGACGCGAGGTGGGCGTTGTGAGCGACCGAAGCTTATGCGACGAAAAAGCAGGTGGTTGGTCAATGCGTGAAGGCTGCTTTTGACTGTAACGACCGAGTGTGGTTGTCTGTGGATGGTGGGTTACAAGCAAATCTTCGTCGTAGTCGCCATTGTATTGTTTAAACCAAACGATCATCTCTTGTTTTATCTTTTCCCATGACACCTCGTTTTGAAATATGTGGGTGAGGTAGAATTTGAAGGCCTCACCGGAGATGTAGTCGGTAAAGTTGGCGGCCATCTCCCGTTCCGACTATGATGCAGCGGTTGCAAGGAGCTCGAACAGGTCGAACCAGTCCTGTACAGGTCCATCGTCCGCTGCTTCAGTGTACTTGGGGATGGGAAGGTCAGTCGATGATTCTGTCATGGTGCTGGTCGCTGTGTGCGGCCAGGAGATGATTCCGTAGTCGATGTATGGTCAGGGCGTCTTGTGGAGAACTGTGTCGAGGATGAGGCACTGATGAAGTGGCTTGCAGGTCTTCATCCTGTCGACTCGTGTGACGCTATGATGAATGGCAGACGTGGCCTGGCTCATACGCCATGTTTATTTCATTCTGCACTTCTTCCTTCTCGGCTTCTACTTCTAACTCCTAACCATCGCTACCTTCTTACATATATATATATATATATATATATATATATATATATATATATATATATATATATATATATATATATATATATATATATATATGTTTATGATGAATTTTCGGATATAAAGTATTTTCGTGGCAGGTGCGACTTCGTTATAATGAGGTTTGAGTGTAAGTGAAGTGCAGATGTCAGTGTGTATGTGTGTGTATATATGGGATGCCCCAGCTATCTCTAGCCAGTGTTTAACAATATGCCAATGCATATTAAGATGACGTGATGGCATGTTGCTTACTATTGCCTGCAGTAAATCACTATTTTTTGTGTTCTGTTCAATTGCCCATTTAGGTAAGGTTGAGTAACCAATTTCTAAAGCAACAAAGTTGGTCAGAACGTTCCAATTACAAAGTTGTAAATTGGGTGACAAATCATCGTCTAGTTATACAGTTTCTCCTAATCTTTCATCTACCAAATGTTAGTGTTTTTCTGCTTACTGTGGGTGCCTGCTGAAACACAAAAAAAATATCACATAGCATTCCTACTTGTGCACTGTGAATACAGTGCTCCCTAGCATTCACTGAAGCATTCGCAGCGATTCATGGCAGTGATAAACAGATGCAGTGGTCATTGTTTGTGCTCCCACAAGGATCAAGTTTGTCATTGCACAGCCATCATTATTGACACTGTCTTATCTCATGAGCCGTTGCACACGTGGCTGAATATGATGGCCATTTGCAGGGGAACGCTAGGGAGCACTGCAAGTACGGTGTGTAAGCGGTCATGCCACGCTGGTATTTTTTTTTTTCACAAACATCTTTAAGAACTAGAAAAACACTAATATATTATAGAGATATATACATATATAAAGAACTTTATTGAGAAATGTCCCGAGAGACGATGTCGTGAAGCTTTGTCATAGAGATGTTTTGCTCTGCTTCGTTGCTTACATAATTAAGCAGTTAGGCAGAACACAAAAAATAGTGTGGCCTATTTCTTGTAGCAGTTGGCTCCATGCATGTGGTCATGTCCTCATAAAAAGCAAAAGCATATTTTTAATCTCTTGCTACAGTTATCTGGGGCACCATGTGTATGCACAGATTATATTGGGTGTCCTGGCTTAGTTATTTATTTATTTATTTACAAATGCTGCATCTTACACAGCAAGATATTTCAGGAGTGAGTACAACACAAGATAAAATACAATACATTAAGTCACATTAAATCACATTTAGTCGCATTAAATATAACACAAATAAAGTATATACATTGAGTATACACACTGAAGTATACACACTGAATGGGCAAAACATCAGGAAAGTATACACAGCTGATCAGTGAAGAAAGTTTGGCAATTGTTCAACGAATTCATCGTTCGACAGCTCGCGCAGGGAGCCCGGGAGACCATTCCAAGTATCAATAGTGTGAGGAAAAAAAGAAAACTTGAAGCAATCAATGGATGACTTCAAAAGAGCTATGTTAAGGTGGTGACTTCTCCTTGTAATTCGAGAAGAAGGGTTAGTGAATCTAGAAGTGAAGTTAGACCAAGATGTTAAAAAAAAATACCAAGCATGAAAGATCTAAGGTCGAGGTGAACTTTTTTGTTATGCTATTTTTCATGACAATAAGGAAAGAACATACTGTAATTTCTCACATTACACCCACTTCTGTTTATAATCCCACCTTTACTTTTTAAGCACATTTTTTTTTTATTTTTGAAGCAATAATATGCAAGAAAATATGGCATTTAGAAAAATAATACAATGGCTATAGCAGTACAAGCTTGGTACCAGAAACTTTCTTGTCATCATAACCCTGCAAATCCATACAAAGTACTGTACTGGATAGTGCAATAGTGCAATTACTGGTGTGATAAAATTTTGCTTTCTGACATTTATTGCATGTATCCATCATTTTTTGTGCTGAAGAGGGAGGGAAAATTTTCTTGCATTGGTGAATATTTTAATTTTACAAGCACATGTTATATAATATAGATGGAACAAGTTTTATAGTATTTCAGATGTGTTTGTGATGCATTTTCTTGCATATGAAGTTTATGGGTTCAATCCTCATCAGTGGCAAGTTGTTTTTAGTCTACCTCATATGTTTCGCCTTCCCCTTGTAATTACCACATTCCAATTGCCTAGGCTTTATTGCCTATTGGCCTCACATAGTTGTGTCCAACAAAAAATAGGCCTCTTGATCCATTCCTCTCCTATCATTTCTTACTAGAGGAAGCTGTTGATCTTGCAGAAGTTGATTGCAGTTGGCTGCAGCGAGAGCTGTACAAAGATTATGTTACGAGTGCTTCGTTCTGCAACCAGGGGATCTCAAGGCGATTGGCGAGTGGTTGGACCACTACTGGCAGCTAAAGAAGGTGCTGGCCGCTGGGTGTGAGCCTATGTTTGTCGGGCGTCTTATGGGGCTTCTGCGGCCTCATGTTCATGGTCAGCTGCTGCTAGGTGCAGGCGGCGGTGGTTTCCTATGTGCCCTCACCAAAGAACCTCGCCAGGCTGGCTTTGTGCAGAAGCTTTTGGATGAGACTCAGGCAAGGGAGCTAATGCTTCATCTTGAAAGCCTTACAGCTCTACCAAACTGACAAATTTTGTTGAGAGTCCCTATGCTTCTGTTATGCTCTTAAGGAATGCATGTCTGTGTTCTTTTAGAGCTGCGATTATGGAGACAACAATCAGTTATACTGTGTACCAAGCATCTCGGCAGGAACTTATTATTCATCAAGAACTCATTACCAGGCATCTTGGCAGCAAGAGTTATTTCGAGTAGTGGGTGACAGTCATAATATGACATTCAGCATTATTAAATCATGAATACGTTGTTGGCTTCTGCAGACATTTAATTTGCAAATTTAAAACCAATAAGTTCCCAAGTCATACAAATTTACAGATATCGTAAGACTAGCATTACTTTATAAATGCATTCCGACATCGGCCATAAAATAAATTTTTGTTTTGCATAGCTTCTCTCTGTTGTATATAACAAGGGATCTGTGCAAAAAAATAGTTCATGGAACATTATTTTGTTTAAGTGAAGTGCCAATGAAACCCTCTATGCTGCTACTTTCTCTATAAGTGGTCATTTTTGTGTATGAGCATTATTTATACAGTTGAATACCTTATAGGAGACATGCACCAGGGAGTAATTCTTGTCTTTTATATGAAATATCCCTTATAAGCAGGGTACCACAGTTGCGTTTGCTTATCAGCTCCTATTTCGACGTATGTGCACTGGTGCCTCTTATACCCAGTTGTCCGTTACACCAGTGTCTCTTATAAAAGGGTACGACTGTATTTCCTGCCTACACTGCAGACTCCCATTGAAGTCAGTAGCATTGTCAGATACTAGATGAGTAAATCCATACTACAAAATGTTGCTGCCTGTCAGGTACTCATTCGTAATGCTGTGGTGTGTAACATCTGTCTTGTAACTTTGCTTTCTTTCAATTACCGGTTTCTGTTAGTTTTGAAAGCATTTGTAAGAAGCATTAGTGTATTCTCCTAAAATGCAGAGAACACTGTCATGATGCTTTCAGAAAAACTACTCTTCTTGTGTTGTGTCTTATGATTTTGTTTCATATAGTCAAAAGCTACATGACCCATAAGAATTTAATATGAGTAATACAACAATGTTCGTTAACATATAGAAAACGTGTCTCACAGTATATTGCTTGAGCACATTTTGTTTTTAAACACATTCAGTAGAGCAAATTTAACAAGAATGGAATTTTCTATGATTTTTATTTTCAGTGCAATTTGTGGCCATCAGTAAAATATTCGATCCTCTCGAGATGCATTGTGTAACATAAATACACATTTGTATGTACACAGCCCTGTCTCTTTCTTCTTTTCAATGTTCTGATTCGCACCCCCATTTGTTGGCAAGGGTGCCAATAGTATTGTTGGCTCAAAGCATGGTGCTGTTAAGACCCAAACAACTTATGAACTGTGGCTGCAAGTTTGTTAGATCGACAATACTACTTAAGCCTCTTTTTCATCTCCCTCCTCTGTCTGACATTTTGTTGGTTTTCATATATGTGATTGGATACGCATCTGTCTTCTTCTTCCTTATACACAGACACTCAGCATTCAGGACAGTGACTTCATGTGCAGAAAGACAACAAATTGTGTACATTCAAACCTCGGTATTAACAAAACTGGATATAACAAAAAATTGGTTATAATAAATTAAATAAAGTATAGTCTTGCAATAGATAGTCTTTAATATACACCTTCATAGCGAATTTCAGATATAACAAACCTATTTTCGTGTAAGATGCAACTTTGTTATCACATGTTTCTGCCTTCTTTTTGGCTCATGTAATGAGAATTAACAGCCCTTGGAACCCAGTGCTGTTGTCGCAATATGTACTGTTGTTACAATATATCAAAAGCGAAGCTCGTAAAGCTCAGGGTATAATGTCAGGTGTCTCCAAAAAGCTCTTTATGCCAGTTGCTTATCAGCCACACCCACTGATAGAGACAGTCCATGTAGCCACCGTGACGAGTTTGCCCACCGTGTCAACTGAGTACGAGCAATGAAAGAAAGGCCCGCACTTCTACCAGGGGTGCGAGAACTAGCTTTGAACATTAGTTTTGGTTCTGGAGTTTGGACATTGTTGCATAGTCTGTGACAGGCTATGGTTCGAGTCTACTTTTGTCTACGCCAAAGGAAGACCTAGCATCAGTTATGAAAGCCACGTTAAGCCCCTAAGATCAACCGGCTTTACTTTTTCTTAAGCTTTACATGGCTACTGTTAACTTCACTCTTTTTTTTGTTTCATAGTTAATATTTTAGTGAATAGGGTAGATGAATGTGAGCATGACTGTAGAACGCACTTGCACATCATTGTCTTCTAGTCAGGGAAAGTGAATTGCAGGAGGTATGCAAAACATTTTGTCATGTGCTGTTTTTCAGTGGCTTGTCAAAATCATAGTATCTTTATATAAAGTTGTGTAAATTTATTCACCTTTGTGTTTTCTTTTCCTTCATTTTACAGGGAATGTCAAAGGTTACTGTACACATGGTGAAAATTGACACGACTGGCCTGACACTGAGCATCAATGGAAACAACGCAGATCCTCCGATTCCTTTTCTGCGTTAAGTTGATGTAGTATAGTGGTAGTTAGGTTTGTTATGCAGGTATACAAAAAAATGGTCCACCAGTGCATATACTTTTGTATTCTTTATACATTTTACAGCTCAATCTGAAACATTTACAAAGACATTCCGAGGATTTTGAAGAATTCATATTACATTTATGGCACAATACAAATGAACTTTGCAGCCTAGTCTTCACTTATGTACTTGCACTGTTTTATAGGTCAATATACCAGTATGCTGGTGATATGCTAACACTGGATACCTGGCACAAGTGAATTGCTCCTATGATTTTACCATGTATTTCATCATATTCCTTTATTTTATAGCTATTGTGCCCCGTCATTATTCTTAGTCATTTCTTTTTGTTTTGTCTGAAATGCACCTGTGATAGCGGGCCTTTTTTCTTTTTATAGTCTTTAACAGCTTTATTGACTAACTTTTCAGTAGTTACAGTGTGTAACTGCACAATATGTCAGTTATTTACTCTTTTTTACTGAAACAACAGGCATAACTGAGCAGTCCAAGTTTGCCGACAGCTCTTGGGATGTCATACTATTGGCTTATGTATATGCATCTCTGTTTTTTAAATCACTGTGAATAAAACCCATGTGCAAATAGAAGAGTGTTTAAAGGCATTATACTTACTGTCCGACTACTTCACAGTAACTGCTGTTGCTGGTAATGCATGTCAGCAAGAATAAAAATGTGCGACTCTCTTATGCTTGGCTAATCGAAAGTCTTGATCTATGTCTTATTTTTAGTACTTGTTTCACTAAAAAAAAAGTGAAGGCCTGCTATCTGATCACCAAGTGCCAGTGTTGTTTCATGTAAAGAACTAAAGCATATTCATCCTCTTCTTACTGTAAGAAAAAAAAATAAACTGTGCCAAATTTAGTGGATTCTTTTTTTGCTCAACTTGTAGAGCTCCTTTTTTATAAAATAAAATGTTACCACTCTTTCAATTCAATGGGTTTCCTTCATTTCACTCATTGCATAAGAAAAGATAACTCAAAGATGGGTTCACCGCACGGTGATACAATGAAAGATGGCAGTAAAACAAAAGCCCTGGCACAAATGGCATGCGACAAGCGTGGCCATCTAGCGTCAAGAAATGCAACTATCATTGGTTTTATGTGGGGCCAATATGCGTTGACCAGTATAGTAATCGGCTATTTTGGTACAAAATTTCATGTCAGCTATACTTGTCAACAGGAGTGAAAGGGTTAAAAGCGCAAATCTTGGAATGTATACACTTAAACAGATCGTGTGCGTATGAAGAATATTCACATTGAAAAATTGTTCTGACAGATACACACCAAGAGCCTGTATAAGGGTTGGCTATGACAGAAAAAGAAAAAAAAAATGCACATAACTTCATGTTTGTTTTTGCATCATATTCTTTCGTGTCTGTGTACTTTGTCCAGTTCACTCAAATTGCACAACCATGGAAGAGGTCCAAACTTAAACTTTCATATTGCTTGAGTGAAATGTGTGTAGCCACTGTAAATGATCACTGAGAAAGCGCTGTGGGACCATAGTCGTGAGATCGACTGAATAGCAGCTGTTTTTTTGTTTATTTAATAAGGTAGTAATAGTATAGAAAGCTGGGCGAGTTGGTTTGAAGACATTTTTAGTAACATTTCGGCGTGCACAGTGCTTGTTTGTCTTCTCACCTTCCGTTTTCCTGTTCACTGTGTGCACGCCGAAATGTTAGCAATAATAAGGTAGCTTTCTATCTGCGAAAATATGTAATGGACTGATCACCGCATGCATTATAAATACATTGTTGGTGGAGCACTTTTTCGTAGACATGCAGGCACTGTGTGAATCGATATTACTATAAAAAATGCCTCAGAATCATAAGCTGATAAAAATGCCATAAATTCAAAGGCTGAATTTGTGCTCTAATATTGACTACATGGTGTGCCCAGAAAGTAGTAGGGCTGAATTTAAAAAAATAATAATTCACAACTTTGACACATCAACTCAACAGTTTTCAAAATATGCCCCTTCTGAATAAATGCAGAGTTTCCAGCAACTCTGCCAATCGCTGAAAGGTCACTGCAGTGCGGAAACCGGAATGCCCTTCAACTCCCTTATTACAGCCTCTTGAATGGCCTGGACTGGGTCGTGGTGCCGTCCTTTTATGACTCTTTTTCATCGGGCGAAGAGAAAGGAGTCTGAAAAAATATCAGGCCTGTAGCAATTCAGGGGAATCTTTGTGATGAAATGGTTCCTCAGGGAGTCCATGAGAGGAATGTGGCTCAGTACATTATAGTGACTTTTTTGTTGTTGTTGTTGAGCATCCCAACACTTGATCATCTTGAAGTTGCTCTTTTCCATCTCGAAATGATTTGTGCCTATCAAGAACACTTGATCGACACATAGCATCACTCCCTCAAGCACTCTTGATCATTTCATGGGTCTCGTGTGCCATTTTATCCAGTTAAGCAAGCTTTGCCGCGGTGGTCTAGTGGCTAACGTACTCTGCTGCTGACCCGCTGGTCGCAGGATCGAATCCCGGCTGCGGTGGCTGAATTTTCAATGGAGGCGAAAATGCTGTAGGCCTGTGTGCTCAGATATTTAAAAGCCCTCCCTTAGGGCATCTCTCATAATCATATGGTGGTTTTGGGGCGTTAAACACCACAAATCAATCAATCAATAATCAGTTTAAAGCAATACTTCACTGCATAACACTGCCCTAACAAAATTCGTAGTGGTGATGACAAGGCACCTTGATAGAAGATCACCTTAAACTCGATCTACACTCCACAAAGGCTTGGAGACGACTGGTGCAGTGGTATCTAAGTACCGCAATCACCCAACAAGCCCAGAATTGTCCCGCCTCTTTTACCTAGTTTTAGCGGGGGAAGATTAGTCCCACTACTTTCCAGAGAATACTTGCATGTGCCAAAATACTGTGCCAGTGCTTCTGCACCTAAGAGCACTAAATTGTGACTGCTCCAATGTTGCGAAAGAAAGATTACAAGCACCATTGTCTGTTACAGAAAGGTTTAGGTGTCAAACGCTTCTTTCCAAGCTCTATAAAATGCCTGCCCAGCCACAGCGGCACAAAAATATGCTTAAAAAACAGGTGGTACTAGATAGATGCTGTAAGCACTAATATGTTGGCCATCATATTGCTGTATAACACTCATAAAAACAAACTGGAAGTACTTAACTCTTAGAATGGCCAGTGACTAGACAGAATTGAATGTTTTTTTTGTTTGTTTTTTTAACAGCAGTGCTGAATTGATTTCTGGCAGCACTTGCAAATGTGATGCCTGAAGGAAAATTTCATACACATCATCAGATCACAATAGTAAATGTGGCAAATTTTGTGGCAGAACTCTACATAGACAGCAGCATAGCTAGAAATATCTTTCTGTGGGTGGGTTCAGCCATACTTTGTTTGTGCATGTATTTGTATGTGTGCATGTATATATACACATGCAAGACTGAAAATTTTTAGAAGTGTTTAAATCCCCCCACCACACCCCTGAGCTACACTACTGCACAAATCCCAATGATATAATTCTGTAGAAGGGCACAATTCGGAACCATTGTGTTATATTTGCTGATGGTATGTCTCAATAAACATCTCTGCACATGAAGCACCACAGTCCTACCACTTTTACCACTCAGTAATTCAGTCCACATAAAGACATAATTTTCATACTGCACAGTACCTACAATTTACGAAATGAAGTTTGCTACCTGTGAGACTGCTGGCACTGATTTTTAACTTGAGATTTTCTGTATAAATTTTAGACACTGACAAAAAGTGCTGTGTCACTCGAAGGATAGAAATAAAAGTGAATAAAAAGCTCTATAACTGTCACAACCTGGGCCCTCACTAAGCCATATTACGTACTGCATCTTTTAGGAGCAAACATTTCTTTCCACTTGTTTTCCAAGCAAGCATGACAACTAACATTTGCACAAGTCACCTTTAAATTGAACTAAAATAATGATAGATGGTGAAGAGCCTTGCAGTCATCAGTTTTGAAATCGAACTAGAATAATGATATTTGGCAGAGAGGCTTGCAGAGATGGTGTAAATGCTACATTTTTAACATAGCTTAAGTGTGGCCAGTGCCACAATTTTTTTTTTTTTCTGACATCGTGTGCCCTGAGTGCAACTTGTTTTTGAAGTACAAGCTTGAGCATGGAGTTCCTATAGAGGCAAACACCAAAGTAGTGGTTCCGTTTGAAATTTCAAGTAAGCTGTGTGTTAAGGCTTGAATCCTCTCTTCATTCTGGTTTGGGCTTGCACTGAAAATATGATGCTTTCTAAATTCCTAATGTTACCTTAATAAGTAATGCACTGCACTTCTGTATGAGACTTCTACTCTTGACTCGTAGCATTCAAACAGTCAAGAATGCAAATGACAAGGGTAGGCAGGTGTTTAGGCAGATTAATAAGCCGTAGTGGAGGGTTCCTGTTGAACTACTTGGGTTCTTTTGAGTACAGTACTCACAGGTTGAAACGCAACATCGAAACATGCATGCACAATCGCTAGAGATCACCATGTCATCCCACAATGAATTTAGCTGCTAAAGGTGATGTTGACTGTGATGTAAGGGTTCAGGTCAAAATCGCACCATTATGGCACGAACTGAAGACTCTGAAAAGAAAGGTGTGTGTATTTCTTAGCCATGACTTATCGTGTTTAAATCCATGAGTAAAGTAAATCAAATACATGGTACATAGCATTGCTGTGTAACAGTCCCTTGGAATGCAGCTTGAACGTTGACAATTTGAAATAAAACCAACTAAACATTGAATTGCACAAACAGGCATTTGAACTAATTATTTAAGGCACATGTTGTTTATGAATTGATGCCAGGGTCACACTTATTTGAAATAAATCTGGAGAATGACGATAGATAATGGGAGGTATCCACATCACATCATCTGCAAGGGGCACTAGCACGGCATTCGCCATACTCGTATTCTCGTACGTGAACGTCATTGTCGTACCGCAACCAAAGCTTTAGGTAGCACGTGTTATGTTGATATGTTTGAAACGAGTTAGTGAGGTGCAGCGCCACTAAATATCACACGGTCACATGCCGGATCTCTCACGGACCGTGGCTATGGTGGCACACTCGATCGCTGGCGCTGCCTAGCGGAAAAAGCCCAGTGAATACATCTCATTGATATGCATTCCCAAAGCTAGCCAGGAAGCATTAGTGTTGCAAAAATTTTCTAGCTTCGGCATATGAAATGTGCTCTTAAAATAATTCAGTGGAACAATATCCTTGCAATAAGTTTAGAGATCTCATTTTAAAACCAGTGCTAGTTTTAAAATTAATTTTAAGTGGACATCTTATGAAATCACTAGCTTCAATTCATGTGTTGTGATGCATGTGGAAAAATAGTTACGTTCATTGTTATCTAATGCAACTACTACCAGTCTCTTCCAATAATCTTGTAAACTCCTGGTATTTGGAAATAAGTAATAAGTTTGTTTTTTTCCTTCCGAAATTTCAAATAATATACCTGTGGTGCCACATGCCTCAATCAACAGTTTTAATTTGTTTAGTAGTAGTTCCACAGATACATTGTATTAAAACTGTTCATGTGACACAGCTCAACACATAGCTTTGCTATTTGGAGTTGAAAACATACTTTAGAAGGGCAACGATGCACTGTCAAACACATGCTTGCAACATTGCTGCAATACTGCAGCTAGAATTCCTTTGTTTGCCTTTGTGAAGTAGCTGAATACAAATGATGGCCTATTCCTGCAAAATGGTCACTTTAGAGTTCAAAAACTTTAATGCATACTTCCAGCAGTTCGTTCTTTTTAGGGCAAGTAAGACCTTGAAAACATCTGTCAAATGCAGCGGCTTCGGCACTCCCTTCTGCCAGTGCCAAGTGAACGTCTGTGGAAACCGTGCCGTTCTCAACCCCTCAGAAGCTGCCTTGGCCCGAGTCGCACCTTCTTTAGTCTCTTTATCTACGAGCGCTCCGATCACATATACTGCATCGTAATCAAAGGTATCCAATGTGTTTTCACTGTCTGGGGTTAGGTACACAAGTCTTTCTTTTGGAAACATGTCCAAGTAGCTGTTTGGTGTTATCTCCGACAGCAACGTGTGTTCACAAGCGGCGAACAATTCTTTCTGCATAATTTGCGCAGTCGCTCCGTTCGGAGACGCATTACAAAAATGTAAATGAAACGGATCGCGACTCAATCTGTTCCATCCGAAGGCCTCAAGAAGGTCCCTGGCGGCTTTGTTGCTTTCCCTCGGAGACATTGCATCGTCGTAGCCTAGATCAAACACGACACTTTGGCCAAACAAAACCGCTGGTACTTGCCTTGACTCATAATATCTGTTTATAGCGCTTTCTTGGATACGGATAAGAAAGCTATTCCTGAAAAGGCCATAGTCGTCGATGCGGTCAGCTGTGTGCGACACGAAATCCCTCTTCAAGGGTGGTTTGTCCTCACTCACTGATGCTACGTCGCCCAGTTCTCGTCGCTGCTGGCGCAAACGCTTTTGTTCTCTGTGGAACAGATATTCGAACATGCGACCTCTCTTGCGAAAAGAGCTTGCTGCGAGCAAGTTAACTACGTCCTGGGAGGATAATTCCTGTGGCGCTCGTAGACCATTTTTCAGCCTTAGTTTATGCTCCCGCAGCAGGCACCTCAATCTTTCTTTGTTTTTTCTGTCATGCGCTAAGCCAAAAAAGTCTGAAGTCCGGTACACACAGTCGTTTTCAGTACTCTCGTCATATTGCCCAACTTTATCGGCGAGTTTGTTCGTAGACACCGCACAGCAAAATTTTCTAGTACAAAACGGCACCAGCACTTTGAGAACATTCCAGCACTTATTACGCGGCACGTAACAAGTTTGGCAAGCGTTGAATTTAAATAATGATGAACGAATCATATGGTATGGCAGCATCCGTGCTAGCACAGGTATAGTGAACTAGAGAGGGGTAGTGGGACGAGCGAAGAGCGAAAGCAGAGCGGCGGCGAGGCAAAACCACGACCACGAGTATTGTACTGACCTGCCCAGTGAGCGAAGCGCCAGCACGTCCTTTCTGGTACTGCCGCCTGCCGCTATAGGCTCTGTGGCGCTACAACTTACCCCGTCCGCACCGGTTGCTGACGGATAAAACATAGGCCACCGCGCTTTTTTTTTTTTTTTCTTTGTCGTTTGCTCGCGCGACACTGGGAGAAAAGCAGCAATGTTTACGCGTGCATACACTCTGGACGATTGAAAAAAAAAGAATAAAAGCCTCTTTTTGAATAAACTTAAAAGTATAATGACGATCTTTTGCCACCGTCTCCTCGTGCCGAGCTGCGATAGAAGCATGCAGGTAGGTGCAGTTTGTACACCAGCGAAGCGAGGTTTCTTGGTGCAAATGAACCATCACGATGGTGGTGTGCTGCGTGCCTTTCTGCAAATCAAGGCAAGGGAAGACTTCTGATGTCACTTTTCATGAGTTTCCAGTGACCGAGGTTGGTGAAAAATGGAACGATGTGATTTCTAGAAAGGGTAAGTCTGCTCAATTAGGCGTTGTCTGGCATGCTGAAAATATAATGGGTTGTAAATGACTACGTGTCTTTAAAAGAGTGAGTTGCTGGGCTGGTTGGTGGTGCATGACAGACTGAGACGCATATTAGCGCAAAAAAATTAATAAATAAACCAACAACCTCAAGAAAGTAAATGACAACGTGCTAAACTCACAACTTTTTATTAGCAAAAAAGAGGAAAGATGACAAGAGTGCACATATGAAAGCCATGTCACATCATGTGGATATGCAACTAGGTTTTCAAACACACCCATTGTGGGAAGAAGCAGTTTCTTAGAGATTGCTTTGGTAGTTTAATTACATTACCAAAAAGAGCAGAGATCGTTGCATAAGTGAATATTTATCCTCTATCGCTTAATTAGTTCGACCTCGAACTTGAATTTATGTGCTACCGCGTCTGATATAAACGTGTTAGTTTACCCGTCTACGCGCATGCATGACAAAAGGACATATACGTGAAAACTTTTCTCCCAATGAAAAGTTGTGAGTAGCGTGTGCCCTTGTCTTCTTTCTTGTGGTCATCGTTTTATTTAGTGCTAATGTATTTCAGCCAGTCACGTGTGTCACATGGTTAACGAGGTGAAGTCATACGCTCACTTCATCACTGTGTTTTATTCACTTCGCCACCATGGTATAAACTTCTAATTGCATGATATACTCCTTAGAAAAGAGCAAGAAATTTTGTATTTTATTCACAATATTTTACTGAATGTTTATCTTCCTTTCAAGGTGCTGGCAATGAAGTTTGGCTCCCAAATGACAGGTCGAAGGTGTGCAATGTTCACTTTGCTCCAACCGACTATAAGCCGGGACTAAAGATAAAAAGAATGAAAGCGGATGCTGCGCCGTCAGTGTTTTTACACTACCCAAAGTACATGGTGCTGCCCGTGCCAAAAGTTCGGCCGCCCCTTGAAACGTTCAAATGTTCAGAAACATGGACCCTGCCCAAAGAAAAATAGTGACTAACAATATTTAATACTTGACGTCTCCCCACGGCTCTTGCATACAAACTGGACCAATGAAAAAGAATTTCAAGGAAAGGCGCATAACATAACGCAGTTTGTTAATGCAGGAAGAAAACAGGTTCAGCCCCGGCGCAGCAGTGCTTGACATCGAGCGACGTGTCATCAGTACCATCCGCAAACACAACTGCGGGACCATTCTCAGACTTTATGCACCCTCTCGCCGAATTTGAACGCACAGAACCACTTGAAGCTGCACCTGGCGACAAAGTAAAAAAAAAAAGACCGACGCTCCTTGACCCCGCAAACAACTATAACCAGCCAAAAGGTACGCCGTGTCATGACTTTCGCAAAATCATCGCGCCGGGAATGCCAAACCATGGCAAGGAATAATGCTGAATTAAAAGCGCAAATAGCCAAGCTGAACCGTGAAGTTGCGGAGGTTAATCTTCTCTCCAATAGAGCAAACGCTGCAGTCTTGCAGGTAAAGTTACGTTGTTTGCTGTTGTTGTGTTTGCTGTTGGTGCTGTTTCGTTTCAAAACAGTTGCAGAGTGTTTTTTATTTATTATTTATGTACATGCGATCTACATTTGCCATTTGAGACGAATGTATTTATGCGCAAAATTGTCTGTATTGGGTTGTTTTCTATGCGCACTGGATGCCGCGGCCACTGTCAAATGTCATAGTCCTTGCCCTTTCTTGTCCAGACAGTAAATTCAATACAGCTGAGTGTGCGACAATAAGTCTACCATTGTATACACGTATAGCATTACTTAAATAAACATTTGGTGGGCCAGCACTTTTTACAACCTGTCTCTGTCATCATTCTTTCTTGTTTTGCACGCTGATACATGTGTTTGTATCTGATTTGCGGTTCTATTTGAAAAACAAAAATGTACTTGAATAGTCAACTAAGATGCAAAAGAAGATTTTCAAAGTCACATGAAATAAAATGATTCAAGATACCCGCCATATTTACTCAATGCGTGATGAAACTCTTTAAGAACCGGCGGTAACCCATGCATTCCCATGCATTCACAAGAGCTCATGGATGAATGGATGGATGTGGCTGTACCTTTTAGATCGAGCTGTGGCTAACGCCACCTTGCCGTAATACCCAGCGAACCAATCACCTGATCTATCTCCTTTTCCCTTTAAATAGTGAGGTTGAGGATTCGTACCCCGCAGTGACGGGTCCAATTCTCACTCGTGCCTTGACTTTAGCCACCAATCAGATAACCTCCTTCTAGTTAATTCTACCCGCTTAAAGTCTATTTTGCCCACCCTGTCCCTAAACCCCAGTGCTTTGAAACACTCTGCGTCATCATCCTGAACTATAGGGTGAAGCCCTTTACCGAACATTAGCAAGTGTTCGGCAGTTTCCTCCTCCTTTCCACATGCACTGCATACCGTGTCTACCCCTTCGTATTTGGCCCGATATGTCTTGGTTCGCAATACTCCCGTCCTGACCTCAAACAGTAGATAACTACCCCGAGTATTATCATAGATCCTTTCCTTGGCAATTTCCTGCTTAAAAGTTCGATAGATGTCTAGTGCAGACTTCTTAATCATGCCAATTTTCCACATATTGGTCTCAGTTTCCTTCACCTTCTTCTTAACCGATAATTCTTTTTGATTTGGCCACTGCTGTTTTCCAAGTATATACCAGTCAATTTTCTGGTTCGCTTCCTCCATTTTGTATCGACATTCTTCACGTACAAGTAACTGAATACCTTCCTAGCCACACGCTCATCCCCCATTACTCTCAATCGCTTCTCAAATTTTATCTTGCTGCTAGCTTCCCTGCCCTCAAATGATGTCCATCCCATATCACCTTGTACTCCCTGATTTGGTGTATTCCCGTGAGCTCCTAAGGCAAGCCTACCTATTCCACGTTGCTTAATTTCTAATCTTGTTTGAACTTCTGATCTCATGCACAAGACCGCATTGCCCAACGTCAGACCAGGAACCATGATCCCTTTCCATATTCCTCTCACAACATCATACCTATTGTAATTCCATAGTGTTCTGTTTTTCATTACCACTGCATTCCTGTTACCTTTAGTCGACACATATATTTCGTGTTCCCTTAGGTACTTGGCCCCATTGCTCATCCATACGCCCAGATAATTGTATTTATCTGTTATCTCTAGCGTGACCTCTTATATTCTAAGCTCACTACCTTCGTTGTTATTAAAAATCATGGCTGCTGATTTTTCCTTACTGAATCTGAAATCTCACCTATTTCCCTCATTACCGCAGATGTCCAGCAATCTCTGCAAATCTTCCTTGTTGTCGGCCATTAGCACTATATCATCTGCGTAAATCAATGCTGGTAGTGCCTGTTCCATGAGTTTTCCTTGTTTAACGAAGAGAGGTTGAAGCCCAGTCCACTTTCCTCTAATTTGGCCTCGAATCCTTGACGGTACATTACGAATAATAAGGGTGACAGGAGACACCCCTGCCTAAGCCCCACTTTTACCTCTGCAGGCTTGGATACCTGTTTTTCTCACTTCATAATTACCTTGTTACCTTTATAGGTATCCCTTAAAAGATTAGTGACTACATCTTCCACGCCTAGTGTGTCCAGTATTCCCCACAATTCCTCTTGAACCACGCTATCGTACGCTCCCTTGATATCCAAAACTGGTAGCCACAAGGGCCTGTGTTCCTTTTCTGCTATTTCGATGTACTGCGTCAGTGAGAACAGATTGTCTTCCAACCGCCTGTGTTTCCGAAACCCATTCTGCAGTTCCCCCAACACCCCCTCATCTTCTATTCATGCCTGCAGTCTTTCCTCTATAATCTGCATCGCCAGCCTGCAGACCACTGATGTCACTGTTATAGGATGGTAGTTGTTTATGTCAGCTTTGTCCTCCTTCAGTCCTTTATAGATCATGCTCATCCTGCTAAGTTTCCATCCATAGGGAACTTCTCCATCGATTATTATTTCGCTCACTGCCTCTCTCAAAGCCTGCTTAGACTTCGGACCTAATGTCTTTATCAGCATAATTAGAATGCCATCTGGGCCTGTTTATGTACTACTAGGAACCCTTTTTTCAGCCCATTCCCACTCTTGTTGTGAAAATGGAGCCATTGCGCCACTTGATTCATCCTTGTCTATTGTAATGGATGAAGCACTTCTTTGTTGAAATTTTTCTGTCACCCTTGTTGTTATATATTCAATAGCTTCGTCCCCTTCTAGCCTAGCACCTTGACCTACAGTTATAAACCTCTGCTCTAGGCTCGTCTCATTTCTCAGGGAGTTTATATAGATGGTTCCAAAATTTCGCAGCTGCCTTTCTATCTTTTTATGTACTTCTACCAGCCACTGAGCTCCCTTTCTTCTAATCTTTTCATTGATCAGAAGGGATGCATTCCTTCTACAGCTTAGAAAGATTTCCCATTTTCTTTCAACATCATCTGTCGCTTCACACCGCTGCTTAGCATGTATGTGTTCC